AGGGGGGCTGTTTAGCCTTGGCAGAGGGGGTCCGGGGGGGGGGTGTCGCAGGGGGGCGCTCCACAGCTGCATGGCTGAGACTCGTCCAAACTCATCTCATGCAACCTGCCGATTGTGTGGGGGGAACGAGGTTGCTTCCAGCCACGGATCCTGGCTAGGCCGTGCACGCTCGTAGGTGTAACCCGCTCCGTCAGGGCCGGTGCACACCTGGGGGGTTGCACGGGCAGGCAGGTGCTTGTGAGCAGGGCATGCATGTGTGCACCTTGCTGCACGCCAGGCCTCTGGTTTGATTTGGGAGGGGGCTGCCTCTGAGCCGCGCGCCCCCTCCGCGCTGAGACGGGCAGGGCTGATACCTTGTCGCGGGAGGGAACGGGCCGGGCCGGCTCGGGGGTGGTCTCGGGGTGCAGCTGCCACCAGTGGCCCAGGGGGCTCTGACCCCGCGGCAGGCACCGCTTCCTTATTGCCCGGGAGCCACCTGGCTCTGTTTGCTCCGCTCCTGCCGCCTGGCAGCTGGGAGCTCCCTCCCGGCTTCGCTGCTCTCCGGATTTCTTCCCCGGGGAAACCCCGGCTCCTTCTTCCGGGAGAGCGCAGGGCTGGCACGGAGGGAGAGGGCAAACTGTACCCCGGAGCTCAGACTGGCATTGCTGCTGCCCGCTGCGGGGCCTGGGAAACTGAGGCACAGAGCGCCTGGACTCCTGGGGTCCCCTCCCTGACCCCCTCGACCCCCTTCCCGGAGCTGGGGAGGGGACTGCTCCGACCGCTAGGCAGCCCCCCCTCGAGCTGTGCCATGCCGGCCCCTGGGCCTGGCTAGAGGGGCCACCCCGGTGCTTCGACACCCCCACCCAGACCCCATTGCCCCCACCTGTGGGACCACCAGGGCTTTGGGGCCGATGCAGCCCTTGGGGGCAGCTCCGTGGGGGAGCGACTCGGCTGCGCCCGCTCCCCCGGCCCCGGCCCAGCTGCCTCCGGCGCGGTTTGTGGTGCGGCGACTGCATCACGGAGACGCTCTGCTCCGTCGTGGGCGGAGGGACGAAGCCATGGGGGGGGTTTCTGCTGAGCTCGTCATCGGGCTAACGCACCCCCCAGCAGGGACCGACCGCAGCGGTGGGGATTGCGGGGGTGCCCTGGAGCCCCTGGATGTGGCTGGTGGGGAAGGGGGTTTCCTCCCCCGCCGAGGGGAAAGGCAAACCCTCTGCGGGGGCGGCTTGGCGTTGCCTCCTGCCCACGCACGCGGGGAGGGGAGGGGAGGGCTGGGCAGCCCCCCGGGCAGCCCCACGCCTGTCCAAGGGGGGTGCAGGGGCAGATCTTTGGGGGTGGGGGCAGGAGTGCCCTGCCCCCACACAGCACACGGCTGGGTCCACCAGGGCCTGTCCCAGGGCATGCACACGCGTGTGCCTGTGTGCTCCCTGGAGCCTGCTGGCGTGTGCAAGCCAGTTGTGCGATCATGCACGCCTTGTTGTTTGGTGCCCCGTTCTCTGGCCTGTCCACCCAGGTCCATGCTCGTGCCGCGGAGGTGCCCGTGCAACACGGGGTGTGCGTGTGCGAGTGACGGGGGGAGCGGGTGGTAAAGCTGCCCCAGGGACCGGGGCTATTCTGGGTCCCAAACCCCGTGCTCCCCTCCCAGCCATATGCCGCGGCACCTGACTCCTTGCCTCCCTCCCCGGCGCTGTCAGGAGCTCAGGCCACAGGAAACCAGCTGCTGGGCCTTGATTTCATTTTTGCTCAGGGCTCAGCCCTTCTCCTTCCTCCTCAGCCGTGGCTGTGCAGGGTGGGGGCGTGGGGGGGAGAGCACAGGCAGGGGGTGCTTGGGAGACCACCCTGGGGGCTGCGGGGCCGGGATCTCGTGCCAGGGTGGGGGGCATTGGAGAAGGGGTGCAAGCAGAGTCCTGCAGGACCTGGGGCCGGGCACTGCCCCTTGCCCCGGCAGCAAGGACCAGCTCCATTTCCCATGCACGTACGGCACCGTGCACAGCTGGAAACCAGCTTTCATCCAGAGCTCCCAGCTCTGCTCCGGGGTGCAGGGGAGAGGACGGTCAGGCACCCGCCGTCCCCATCCTGGCCGTGATGCTGCCCTAACGGGGGGCTGAGCAGCTCCCCCAGCCGGGCAGGGGGCCGCGTCCCATCTCAGGGCTTTCCTCCGCCGAAACAGGGCGGGTGGGAGCTGCCAAAGCTTCCCCTCCTTCCTCTCCATCTCAGCAGCTGCTCTGCCCAGAGGTGGCTGCATTTCCGTCGGGTGCGGGTGGCAAAGCCCTTATCGCCAGGCTGGAGCGGTGGGAAATGCTGTCCTTTTTAAATAGGGCACGAGGCTTTCCAGGAAGGGGGCAGGTCGAGAGGCCAGCAGCAGGGCTTCCAGGAAAGAAGGGGACAGGGCTGTGTCACCCCCAGCACCGAGCTGCCTGCCCTGAAAACACCCGCTGCTTATCTGCAGCCACCCCCTGCCTGGGGCCAGGGGGGCTCTCCCTGCAAAGGGCAAAAAAGGGGGGTTTCCCATGTGTGGAACGTGCCTCAGGCACGGGCCCAAGGGGATTAGGTGCAGGGGTGGGGGAAGCATCTCTGCCAGGTCCAGGGAGCCCATACAGTGGGGGCACAGGGCTGAGTGGAGCCAGATGGGTACAGACTGGGGGGCTTCCCCTCCTGTGGTGGGGGGCACAGCCTCTTCCTTGGGTCCTATGGGTGCATTTCTACACCCCTGGCTCTGCCCGGGGCAGGTGCAAGGGCTCTGGTGCTGCTGGGGGTGCAGCCTCAGGACTGGGTCAGGCAAGGACATGCGGCCTTGAGCAGGAGAGGCTGGATGTGGCCGCTGGAGGTCTCGCTCTGCAGTGCTGGGCCTTGTTGACCGCTACATCCTGGACCCGTGCAGCCCAGGCCACAAGTGCCAGCCGTTGCACAGATGCAGGATGTTTCTCCAGCCCAGCGCTGGCTGAGCCCATTGCTGGGTAAGTAAGTCTGTGCTGCTTGGAGCAAAAGCTGTGCCCAGGCTGCCTCCGTGCTTTCTCCTCCGGGATGCAGGAGGAGTCGCTCCCCTGCCCTGCAGGATCCAGGAGGCTCAAAGCATGACCTGAAGTGACTTTTTTCCATCCCCAATCAGCCTGGCAAAGGCTGGCAGTTAGCAGCTGGAGCAGAGTACACAGCCTCTGGCCCGGGAAGTCCTGCCCCACGTAATGCCCTGTGCAGCAACGAGCTGCCTGCCCCATGCACACCCGCCTGCCCTCCCTGCGCAGTTGCTCAGCAGCTGGGGAAGCGACATGTCTGCTGCAGCTTGGCAGCACCCACCAGCTGCTCTGCCAACAGATGGGCAAGCAGCTTTGAAGTCACTCCCCCTCTTCCTGGCCCCCACAACATGAAAGGAGCGGTGTGTGGGGCCCAGCAGCTGAGCTCTCCCCGCTCAGGACATGCAAGCCAGAGCCAGCTGCCTCAAAGCCCCCCCAGGGTGCAGCAAAGGGGGAGCAGGGGTGCATTCATTGCAACCTCCAGCTGCAACAAGGGGCGTTTGCAAGGAGCTGGGGAAGGTTTCACTGCCCTTTTAGACTTCCTGCAGCCCTTCCTTGGCACACGCTGGCCCCAACTTGGCATGCACCCTTGCTCTCCCCGCCCCGAAACCAGCCACGATTGTCCCTCCCCGCTGCAGCTCTGCCAGCCAGGAGCTGTGCAAGCACCCAGGCGCCTTTAGCAAAGCTTCCTCGTCAGCAGGGAGGGGAGGAGGCTGCAGTTTTGCAACAGCCAGGCCGCAAGAGCTGGCTCCGGATGGCTGCGCTGAGAACAGGGAGGCTTCCTGGAGGAACAGGACACTCTGCTCCGGGCAGGGCTGGAAGGGCAGAGAGGGGGGTGGGGGTGGAAGGAGGCGAGAGGAAGCTGCGGGTTGTTGAGGCTTTAGAAATTTATTGCAAATCTCTTTTGTCATCAGGTACAAGAATAGAGCTCTAGCTGGAGAGCCAGGCTCTCCTCTCTCGTCTCCGGGCTGGAGTGCAAAGGAAACACCACGCACCAAGTCCTGCGTCTCGCTTGCAAACGGAGACGCTCTCCCCCGCGGAGAAAACAGCAACAGCAGTTCATTTGTGACTGTCCCTTTCAGTCCTCCATCCACGGCACAAAAGCAGGCACAGGGGTGTCTAGCCTCTCCTCCCCCCCCCCCCCCTCTCGCCCCCCCCCAATAAGGGGGGGGGGGGAAAACCCAGTCCCGTGCCCCCCCGGGGTGGCCCCGCCTGCCCACGCAGCCAAATGCACGCATACACACACGCTTGTGCATGTGCCGGGGTCTCGGCGCCCCTCCGAGCCTTGCTTCTGCCGGCCGGCTCCTGCCACGGGCACAGCCGCTCTCCCACGCAGGTGCCCTGCCCTGCCCACGCGGGTCATGGGCCGCTGGGTTGCGAAGTTGGGGGCAAAACTAAAAAGGTCTCGTGCTTTTTTTTTTTAAAATCCTGCTTCTCTGGCTCTTTTTTTTTCTTCCTCCCCTTCTTTTCTCATCGGCTCCCCCCCGCCTGGTTGCCGCAGCTCAGCGCTCCTGCAGGGCCACGCTGGGTACCCACTGGTTGTTGCAGCGGCTCTCCTCGCAGTAGCTGGCCACCTCGGCCAGGCCCTGGCTCTTCCAGGAGTCCGTGTGCGGGTTCTGCGTGGGAGGGACACATGCCAAGCATGAGCCACCCGTGGGCGATGTCCACAAGCCATGAGACCATGGCTCAGCCCTGAGCCATCCCCTAATGGCCCTGCTCGGGAAGGCCCTGGCTCGCAGCCACACGAGCCGGATGCATCATGCCTCCGGCATGACGCAAGCCCTGCCTGCCACCCGTGACGTCGCGGCAGCCCGCCCCCTTCTCCCTTGTTTGCCCACAGGAGTCTCCGTGCAGGGGAGGGCGGGGGGCACCTACCGTCACCAGGATGCAGTGGAGGTCCCGGGGCTCGCTGCTGTCCTGTGTCCCCTCGCCCAGCAGCGTGGCCAGGCGCTGCATGCCCGACACGCGCAGGATGTGGATGTCGTTGTCGCAGCAGAAGGCTTGGATGAGGGTGAAGTGGATCTGCAGCGCGATATCGTCCTCGTCCTCCTCGTCGGTGGCCAAGAGGCACAGCACCACGCTGTCTGGGTCGCTGCAGGGGGAGGGGGCAAGGCCGGCTGTGAGCACGGGCATCGCTCCCCCAGCCACACGGCGAGCTCCAAGGCAGCCCACCCAGGCCCCTCACCCGTGCACAAGGCAGCTCCCCAGACCTCCCATCCATGCACTATCCTCCAGGGCAGCCCCCTCCTTCATGAATCAAATAATCCACAGCGGAGCCGGGCCCAGGCGGCGACAGGCAATAATCCAGCAAGAGCAAACGGCAGAGTGCAGTCCCGGGGCGCGGGAGCGAGCAGATCTCAGGGAAGCCGGCCGGGCGCTCGGGCTCGGCGCTGCCGCCGCCGGCTTTTGTAGGCTCCGGCCGGGGCGTGGCGGCGCCAAGCGCCCTCCGGATTGGCGCCGCGGGGACAAAAAGCGAAAGCGGTCGCGATGCGGATTGGTGCAGCTCCGGCGGGGCGGGGCGGGGCTAAAAAAAACCCGGTGTGGGGGGGGGAATGTACAGGTCCCCACGTGGGGCATGGGGAGTTTTGCAAGGGTCGGGTTTGCTCAAGGGAAGAGAGTTTCGATTGAAGTTTCCCAGCAGCTCGTGGCTGTGCCGGGCAGGGGCCGCGCACCCGGGCGGGCGGCGGCGGGGGGGCCTGGGTGTATTTGTATTTCCTAGGAAGGGCGCGGGGTTGGGAGAGCCCACCCCATGCTGGCCTTGGCCCTGCACAGGGCAGTCCGGGCAGGGGGGTCGCAGCTTGGTGCATGCATGGGGGTGCCCTGGAGCTTAGTGCATGCATGGAGGAGGTG